CTATTCAATTTTTGTATTACGAGGGGCATGCCGTCTGTACCTTTACAGTCGGCTACTCTCCATTGAGTTTTTTCACTCTATCTTCAGAGGGGCATGCCGTCTGTACCTTTACAGTCGACTACTCTCCATTGAGTTTTTCACTCTATCTTCAGAGGGGCATGCCGTCTGTTCCTTTACAGTCGGCTACTCTCCATTGAGTATTTTACTCACAATACTTAGCTAAAAAGATTAGGGCCTGGCCGACCCTGTGCCTAACAGGCGGCTACCCTTCTTTTACTTAGCACCTACGTTCACCAAGAACTTACCAAGGCCACCGGCCGAATGATCAGACCAGGCGCCAAGCCACCTGATCAAATCTACAAAACTAATACGACCTGTCCCAACATCATAGCAGGCGTCCGACGGCATCCCTCCGGATGAAATTTGTCGCAGAGAGCAGCTCCCTTTTGGGTGGAACATTGTTCTATAAACTAATTACACGGCACCTATACGACTGTCCCCAAGGGCAACCACGTAGCCGTTTTTGAGACAAGGATAACTCTATCACTAACCAAACCAGTGGTAGCAGTTGACATCTGAGTCAGATGACCGCCTGTATTACTTGGGATAAATGCACGGGGTACCTATTGAGTTAATAGCCAACAAACATTGGCGAATCAAGGGGTCTAGCCGGCCTACGCCGCCTGGTACCTCTACTACTCAATCTAGATTGTGACGAAGACTAAGTAACTCCTATGTTAACTTAATAGTCACTCAAACTTAGTATGGAGCCTAAAAGGTATGAGTCGTCCGCCTGTTTCTAATAAACAGGGGTTCTCAACCACTACTCTTGCTAGGTTAACAAATTACGAGTTAAAAGCCAACATTGGCAATAAAGGGAAACAACCGGTACCCGCCGCTTGTTATCCTACTTAATTCCTTGGCGACTAGGTAATATTATTTACTTGGTCAGACCGATTGAATAAATAGTTCGAATACCGATTGAATAAATGGCCGACTGATCGTCTATCCTGGAAACAGACAACCAGTCGTCCAGGGGCATAGGCGGCGTACTTACTATTAGTAGTACTTACTATTTGTACCTGTCTGCAACGTTCGGCCATGTACAACAGTCGGTCTAGTGAACAATGGGATATTAGATATGGAATACTTAGACAAATTTGAATCAAAACAAAAATTTGATTAAAAATAAGCCGGTCATTAAAGACCAGCAGAATATTCAAAGCCCCGGCCCCCTGGCCGGGTAAATACAAAGCAAACGGCACGCAGGCCGTGAAAAAAAAAAAATATACTTTAAGCTTAAGAAGGGGGCAGTTCAGTATTAGCAGCTGCCGCCTGGTCAGCACTCTTCTTGCTGGACTCGGCTTTAGCTGCACCCTCTTTTGATGCCTTACCCCCAAGTGGCACAAGCGCCACAACCGGCTCTTCCTCCTCCTCCAACGTACCTTCCAACGCCTCTTCTTCAGCAGCCGCCAGGATCTCTTGATTATATGTTTCCGAACACTGGCGGTACGTTCTTTCCCATGAGGCAAAGTCGGCATTGGGGAACAGGCGGCCCCAGGTCATGCGCTGGATTTGAGCGGAGTCTTCCACCATCTCCCGGACGAGCTCTTTCTTCTCTTGCTCGGCCTTTTCCGAGAGCTCTTGGGTAAGATTCTTCTCTTGGCTCACCAGGCGTTCTTTTACGTTGGCCAAAGATTTCTCCATGGCTTCGTAAGAGTGCATTTTTTGGCGAAGAGGTTTCAGCTCGGCCTTAAGATTTGTGACGGTCGCCTCCAGCTCGTCATTCTTCTTCTAGGTCGCCTCTAACTGAGCCCGAACAGCGGCGGTAGCCTGCGCCTGATAATAAAGAATATCAATGGTCAGTACTTCATTTTGGGCAATTTGAAACATTGCCTTATCACAGTTGGAGGCGGCCATAGCTTTTGCGGCCTTTACCTCTTTGTTTTTCCGATCAATCGGCTTGCGAAGGCTGTTAACTTGGAGCAGGGCCTAAGTACAAAAAAAAAACAGGCGTCAGTTTCCAAACAAAAAAGATAACAGGCGTCCTGGAACTCAAATACTCAAAAATAGGCTAAGTATACCTCAGCAAGGACCCCTGAAATCCCATCAAGGTCAAAGGTGCCGGCACCCCTGACCGCCTCCCTTTCAGATGGAGGAACTACTTTGATCATGGACTTGGCTACCTCAACCAAGTCAAGCCCCTGGGGGCCGGCTGCATCAAGCGTAAGAAAAAAGCAAGTTAGACCTAGTCAAGAAGGAAGCAAGTGTGAAAGTTTTTACAAGTGATTGTCCATACTTCTAGGCGGCCCCGTCGGGGTTTTAGAAGAAGTGGCCGGCTGCTTCTCAGCCGCCACTGTTTTCCTGGAAGACCCAGGAGAGCTTGCAACAGTCGTCCTCCGGGCCTTGGGGTCCGGTTGTTGCGAGGAAGAAGCTCTTGGAGTGCCAGACTGAAAACAAAAAGAGTTAGTATATGCATAAGACAACTCCTAAAAGAGGAGGAGTTTTCGAAGCCTACCAAAGGTGCCCCCTTGTTGGGGGAGTCGGCACAAGACTGTTGCATGAGAGAGGCCCGCAACATGGCCGCCGCAGTCTTGGATGCTGTTATTTTACTCATGGCGTCAGCTGCAAAAAATAAACAGCAAAGTTAGTAAAGATCCCAAGTAAACAAGGCGTGAAAAAAAAAAAAAAAAACAGAGTATTTGTCAGGCCGGCTACCTCTAGAGCACCGACTGCTGAGGCCACAGGCGGCCAAAAAGTACTCGTCATAGAGCCACTTGAAGCTCGGGACGCAGTTTAGGGGTACTTGCTCTCGTACCCCTGAAGTAGAGTTCACCCTAGTCTCTACTTTGAAGAGTCCTTTGTCTAGGATCTCTCTTTTAGCCTTTGGGGGAACAGGCGGCATGCTGCGGCCGCCTGCGAGAAGAGGCGGATCCCTATTCCACTTGTTAAAACGTTGGTTCAGCTCCGTGTCTGAACCCTCAATGATGAGGAAGGTGTTCCGCCAATCCTTCCATTTGTTCGCCTTACCTCTCGTCATGAGGTAACCCCTATGGCTTGTTAATTGATACCAGCCGGTACCTCCCGACTTAGGGGTCCGGCTGAGATAGTTCATGTGGGCGAAAGCCTCAAAGCTTGGCTCCACCCCGTACATTTCGCACCCGGCCACATAGCCGAGTACGTTTACCCAAGAGTTGGGGGCTAACTGCCATAACCCCAAATCATACCCATCTAAAATCCGCTGAACAGCCGGATGTAATGGGAAGCGCAGTCCAGCTTTGATGGCCGCCACATAGCAGCCAAAGCAGCCGTCATCATAGCTGGTACCAGCCGGCCAGACGACAGTGTCTTCTGGATCCGGCACGAACAGTAAAAATTCCGGGCCCATTCTGTGGTTAGCAATAAAGCTCTCCACTTTGTCTTGCATGGTTGCGATCCGGCCCCGGGGTACCATGCAGTAGTAGGGGGCGTTTTCCTCTCTGTAAGAGGCGGACGGCTCCGCCCAATTGTCCCCCTTCTCAACTGCATGAGAAAGTCTCGCCTCTTGTAGGCGGCTATGTCTTTCTTCTGAGCCTGGAGAACTGTGGCCAGAAGAGCTGGACTCGGACTCGTCCTCTGACGAGTCCGAAGAGGACGACTCCTCCCCTCTCCCAGAGGGGCCCGCCTCCTCTCCCTTAGAAGGAGCAGGAGGAAAATTAGACATATCAACGGTAAGATGGGAAGGGACCACCTTGGCCCCTCTCTCAGAACTGTCGGCTTGGCAGCCGCCTCGTTTCAATTCTACATCTGGCGCCTGGTCAGATGTTTCACTAAGGAGCACCCTTTTGGAGGAGCCGTCTGAGTTTGATATCATAGCAGTCTTTTTTGTTCTGGCCATCACGTTCTGCATAGACACAGATACAGTCGGACTTTGTATAAAGGGCAAAGATGGGTCTAGAAAAGGGCAGGCGGCACTCCTAGTCCTAGATTCAGCCGTCCCCGGTGACCGGCTGATCACTAACTTAGGTCGTGTCGTGTGCTTCCGTGGTGCCATTTCAAAAAATAAAAAGAAAATTAAGAGTAAGAGAACTGAGTTACCTGAACGAGTGACGGTTGATGAAGTTCTGGAAATCCGGTGCAGTCGGCTTGTCAGAACAAGCGGTAGGCAGAAAAGGTCCGAAATGTCAGAGCAAGTTCAGGGGTCCGAATGTTCTCGCAAAGTTCTCAAATGTGAAAATGACCGAAGTCAGCACTTCCTTATATAGGCAAAGTGAGAAGGCGAAGGGTCGCTTCCAAATTCAAAATTTGGGCGGGAAAATCTCTCGGCCGTTTGCAAGGTGACACCTGTAGCAGGCCGTCGCCTGTCACCGTGCGACACCTGTCACAGGCGACACGTGACCAGTCACGTGCCACCTGTGAGGGGCAAATGATTAGGGGATTTTTATCCACCAATCACCGTCTGACAAGTGGACCAACCAGGTTCCGCCACGTGTCCTTCACGAAGGCCAATAGGAGCCTGCCACATGTCAATCACAGATACGTCCTCTACGGACCAATCGAGGCACGCCACGTGTCCACCCATGCCAAATGGGAAAACCGGCCAACAAGGCCCAATCCTGTCTACAGGCCCGGTCAGCCCTAGGTTTACCCTAAACCTAGAGAGTGGCACGCTTCTCAAGACTATAAATACTTAATTAATCCTCATTAATTAAGCAATCAAGAAATCAAGAGAACATTAAGCAATTGAGAGGCAATTGATCAAGCAATTAATCTCACCTGAAGAACAGAGAAGAACAGAAACATTACGGAACACTAATAACCGGCTAATCTCGCTAACAAAGCAGATTACCAACATTAAACACTCTCACCTAGAGAGGTCTTGTTACTTTAATTTCCGTATTAATTACTCCTTAATCAGGTACTAACTTGACCGTTGGAGGCGGAGCTCTCAGGATTCTCTGTTATTTTGCAGGTACAGGCGTCTGGTTCCAGTCTCGGAATTGTAACTCTCCCGCAGGACATCAGAAAACCCCGAAACACTTCTTATCTTCACTAACTTTCATGCAATCAAAACTCACAAGCACATTATCAAAAATATCATGAACATTTTTAGATGAAGAATCAATCACATACACATTATCAAATGAACGAAGGGAATCATCACTCTTGAATCCTTTCAGAAGGGATAAAGACTCTTGCATCGGTTTTAGCTCAAAGCTCTCTTTCTTGTTACCAACACTCAAAGTAATACGGCCTCCCTTAACATCAATCAAAGATCCCGAAGTAGCTAAGAATGGTCTCCCTAAGATAATAGGAATGTGGTCATCTTCTTTCTATTTCAAGCACAATGAAATCTTCGGGAATTGTAAAACCACCTATCTTAAGGGGAACATCCTCAACTCTTCCCTTTGGAAACTTGATGGATCTATCGGCCAATTGCAAAGTCATGTTGGTAGGAAGAAGTTCTTATAGCTTTAGCTTCTTGAAGACCGAGAAGGGAATTATTCTCACACTAGCACCCAAATCACACAAAGCATTCTCAAACAACTTACTCTTGATTTTGCACGGAATGGAGAAATTACCCGGATCTTTCATCTTCTTTGGGAGGTCATTGTGAATCAAAGCACTATAACACTCACCAAGCTCTACCGAATCTATCTCATTACAATATCTCTTTCCACTCAAGATATCCTTAAGGAATTTGGAATATCTAGGCATTTGGGTCATGGCTTCGGTAAGAGGGATAAAAAGATGGACCTCCTTCAACATATCAAGAAATCTCCCAAATTTTTCATCTAATTTGTTCCTCATAAACTTTTGGGGATATGAAAGGTCGGGTTTTCTCACTTCCTCTTGCTTTCTCTCAACACTCTTCTTTTTTTCATGGCTCTCCTCTTTACTCACATCTTTTGACACATCTTCCTCTTTTTTCTCTCTTGAAACACTCTTCTCCTTATCCTCACAATCCTTAGAAACTTTCTCTTCAAGAACTCTTCCTCTCCTTGTGGTGATGGAATAAACAGGTTTCTTAGGATCAATTCCTTGAGAAGGCAATGAAGAAGGACTAGCACAATCTTTTAAAGTGTTTGATAGTTGTGTGATTTGTGTCTCAAGCATTTTGTTATGTGTCATGATCTCATTAAATTTCTTATCGCTCACCGCCATATATGTATTCAAGATTTTTGTTTGATTTTCTATTATCTCCTCCAAATTGGACTTGGGCGATTAAGAATAGGAATTTTCACCAAAATCTTAAGGTTTTGGACCAAATCCGGGTGGGGGTCCCCTTTGGTTGTTTTGAAAATTCCCCCTATTTTGATTGTTCCAATTGCCTCGATTTTGATTATTGCCAAAATTTTGGTTTTGGCCACCAAAGCCTTGAGATTGGCTTTGATTTCCATACCCTTGGCCTTGGTTTTGATTACCATAACCTTGGTTATTATAGTTGCCTCAAAAACCTTGGTTTCCTTGGTTCCTATAATTACCATTATTATAGTTATCAAATCCACCTTGTTGGTGAGAATTTCTATTTCCAAAGTTTCTTGGTCCATCAAACCTTTGATCATTGTTATTTTTTGAGACAAAATTCACATGTTCACATTCACTACTCTCACCATCATCAAGATTTTCAAACCCATTTGAACAAGTAGAAGGATTATGGTCATCAAACCCACATTTATCACAAAATAAGCATCCATTGGGCATATTGTTAGAAGTAGAAGGAGGAGTGAGTTAGAAGATGTACTTCAAGCTTGGCCTTGATTGTTGTCATCTCCTTTCCCAAACTAACAATTTTTTAGGATAGATTGTTAATGGCATTAAGGTGATAAACTAAATAAACCATTGATCCATTCTTGTTCGAAGACTCTCTTTCTCCTTCTTGCCAATCCGTATAATGGCGCACCACATCTTCTATAATGTTCACAACCTCTTCTTCGGTTTTGTTCATGATTGGGCCTCCGGCTCCCGCATCAAGACACGATTTGCCTTCAGGACTCACACCTCCATAGAAAATTTTAATGATTTTATAGGTGGGGATGCCATGATAGGGACATTCTCTTTGATACTCCTTATACCTTTCCTAAGCTTCATAAAAGCTCTCACTAGGTTTTTGCTTGAAACTTTGGATCAAAGTCCTTGCCTCCGCTGTTTTCTTTTGGGGGTAGAACCTAGACAAGAATTCCTTGGTAACTTAATCCCATGTTCTAAGAGCATTTGGCTTGACCTCCTTTTCCAACCATTCCAAGGCTCGACCTATGGGAGAGAAGGGGAACAACTTGAGCCATATAAACTCTTGAGAAACACCATTCACTTTAATAGTGTGACAATACTTCTCGAACTCTTTGAGATGGTTTAGCGGACTCTCAATCTTAGCCCCACTAAATTGTCTCCTTTCGATCAAAGTGATCATGACCGGTCTTATTTCAAAGTCGTTCGCCGATGTTGATAGCAATGCAATCCCACTTTCAAACCTATATGCACCGGGAGTTCCCAACTCCTTCAAATCAACTCTTGGATTATCTCCGATTCTTACTTGATCTTCCTCTTCTCTTTCTTGGTGTATTTCTTCTCTTGGAGAGCTTGGACTCAAAGAACGATTAGCAACCCTTATCCTTGTTATTGTTCTCTCGATTTCCAGATCAAATGGAACTAAAGTCCTTCCTCTTATCCTACGCATACAAAAACTCAAAGCAAATATCAATAGCACGGCTACAAATGTAGCCGAAAGAGAAAAATCCTTTTGTATTTTGAGATTAAGTGAAATAGACTCAACAACAAAAGCAATCATCTACGCCATTCCCCAGAAACGGCGCCATTTTTGATCTAAGGCGAGACTAGGTCGTTGAAAACTAATCTACCCTTGGTAAAAAAAAAATTATAATCTCTCTACACAAATTCAATTCAAACTTGAACAATCAACAAAGAAATTGAAATGATAAGCTAAAGATTGCATTAAAGTAAAAGAAATCCTTACAAACTTGCTTCAATTCAATGGAGAAAATGCTAGAATTACCAATCTTTAATCATCAATCAAGAACTTCTCTCTCTACAATTTAGAGTTTCTCTCTCTAAAATTCTAATTCTAATTCTATCCTAATTTCTAAAAAAATTCCTCTCTCTAAAAATAGAAAGAAAATCTATGTATAGTAAAACTAACTAAGAGAAGTTAGTTAGATCATCCCCGATAAACCCACACAGGCGCATCCAACTATAAGGGAGAGCACGGCCACGCAAATCTAGGTACGGAATAAAGACCCAGACAAGCGCGCCCGCGCTTGAGAGAGGTGCGCCTGCGCCACCAGGCCGCACGGCCGCACCATAGCCGCGCGCGCCCGCGCCTAGGAACAGGGCAGCCTTCTTCCCTATCATGCCGATGCTCCTCGTGCTTTCCACTTAATGCTCTTGATAAACACGGGACCTTGTAGTTTCTAAACTCCATGTTTGCGAGTTCAACACTAGAAATCATGCCCCCACGGCTTGAATGCGCACCTCAAGGACTTTAGGAACTTGCACTTCTCCATGCTTGAGCTTCAAATAGAGAACATTACACATCCTAATTAATGCCAAACTTGGGAAGAGGCCTCGGGAAACTTGGATAACGACCTTAACCTGAAAAATAAAGGAAAACAAGCAAATAAAAGAGAAAATAACGAAATAAACCAAGAAATGCATAAAGAAATAAATCCAACTAAGAAAATGCAAAAAAAAAGAAATAAAGAGTAAAATTAAGGAAAAGCTAAGTAAAAGAGCTATAAAATAACATGAAATTCACCCTAAAAAGAACCAAATGAGTGCCATAAATGACATTCATCACTTGCCCTTTTTATGGATGTCAATAAGTTGAAACCCAACCTCTTGGCACATCTGGTAGTGGTCTACAAAAATCAATTGATCAAACGACCAATGATAACCATGGAATCATTCGGCAAAATGCTAAAATGGGATATTGAAATGCAAAGTCTGGAAATCACTTTCAAACCAAAGAAGGTGATAAAATAGTAAGGCATTTGCCGACTTCATCGCGGAAATGACAAGGCTGACTAAGCGTGATAATACAGACCATGTTTAGAAAGTATATGTGGACGGGAGCTCCACTATGAACGGTTGTGGTGCAGGGGATATATATCAGTATCTTGAAGGAGACAAGTATGAGTATGCACTACAGTTCAAGTTCTAGGCCTCAAACAACGAGACAGAATACAAAGCCCTACTAGCCGGTATCCGCATGTGCAAGGCGGCAGGGGCGATAAAAATTGACGCCTGCTCTGACTCTTAGTTGGTCGTTAGCCAATACCATAGTGGGTATGAGGCCACCCATCTGGCTATGGTCAAATATCTGCAAGAGGTAAAAACTGAGACCGAGACACTTCAAGAATTCAATCTAAGTCAAGTGCCCCGGTCCGAGAATAATAAGGAGGATGCACTCTCTAAGATGGCATCAATTGCCTCATGTGATACACCTCAGTCAGTCTTTTGGGAAATTATTGAAAAGCGGAGCATTGAAGAGGATCCCATTGGAGTAATTTACCGAACCTATACCTGGATGGATAACATTCGGGCATATCTGCTAGATGGTACGCTACCAGACTCAACTCCAAAAGCAGTCGCACTCAAAAAGCTTGCGGTAAAATTTGAAATTCGCGATGAAATTTTTTTCAAGAAAGGGTTTCTACAATCACTCTTGAAATGCACCACCCTAGAAAAGGGGCAAGAGATTCTAGAAGACTTGCATTCAGGCTTCTGTGCCTCACACATAGGCGGGAGGTCTCTAGCAGAAAGGGCCATGTGGCAAGGATACATCTAGCCCACCCTTGATGAGACACCATGACATTAGTGAAGAAATGTGATAAGTATGAAAATTTTGGCAAACTCATACACCGTCCGGCCAAATATCTGACGACCATATATAGGCTAGTACCATTCGCCAAATAGGGCATATGGACATTCTTGGGCCGTATACCCCTGCATTTGGTGGATGGTGGTATATCCTTGTTTCTGTGGATTACTTCACCAAATGGGTGGAGACAGAGGCAGTCAAAATCATCAAGACAAAGGACATCATTTCCTTCATTTGGAAGAACATCATTACCCAGTTTGGGGTGCCTTTGTCTATGGTTTTTGACAATGGTCCTTAGTTTGAGACTCTTCACCTCAAGACTTGGTTGGGAGATCAAGGGATCTCACACTGTTTTGCATCAGTCGGCCGACCCTAAGCAAACGGCCACGTTGAAGTTTTCAACAAGTTAATCTCAGACGACATTAAAAAGAAAATTGAAAGAGCTGGCGGCCTTTGGGAGGATGAGTTACGTCACGTCCTTAGGGCCATCAGAACAACAAAAAAGGGGCGACTGGTGAGACCCCATTTCTCATGGTATACAGCAGAGAGGCCGTTTTTCCCATTGAACATATGAGCCGACTCTTCTAGTCATGCTATATGATGAAGACGCAAACTAGGAAGCCATGCAGCTAGCATTGCACTCACTCCCTAAGTGCATGGACAATGCCACCTTGCGTCATGAGATTTATTGTCTGAGAATAACTATAGCTTACAGCAAAAGAGGACACAAGCGGCCCTTAAAAGTAGGGGACATTGTGTTGCGAAAAAATTGAGGCAATCAGTAGGGCCAAAGAACAAGGAAAGTTAACCACTAATTGGGAAGGCCCCTACTGAATCTATAAAGAAGTAAGAGGTGGCACCCACCATTTGGAAACACCAAACAGAATATAGCTAGCTGTAGGAAATATTTCAAGCATCCCACACGTGAGCTTCACTATGATCAAACACTTAAGCATGGAGGCGTCCATGATGGGTGTCATAAATGGCACCCATTTGATGAGCATTTATGTTGTTTTCTTCCTCTTTTCATAGCTTTCATGCTCAATAAATGCCTAGTTTTATGCATTTGGTCTTGGTTTTACCTTTCCTCTCTTATTTTTTAGCTTTTGTGCATTTTGTTGGTTTTCTACTCATTTTTCCTTTATTTGCTCAGTTTTCGGGGTTGTAGGTATTGTACGAGGTCCGAGTCTTGATATTGGTGATTTACTAAGGTGGAAGATGCTTTTGGAGCAAGCTCATGGCAATTGGAAAGCTCAAGATGCAAGGCAGTAGATTCTCCAAGTTTTAGCTCTTGCGCTCTCAAGCCGTGGTCTCATGAAGATGGGGT